GTCCAAACAGATCACCAAGCCTGATGGTGACTTCTGTGTCATTGATCCTGCCCAAAATATCTTCTGCAAGGCCTTCCCTCTGAATAGGAGCCTTATACTTGAATGAGCGCCCAGCGCCCTCATGTTCCTCCTCCTGTACAGGTTGCCTAGCCTTGGGTGGCTGAGTTCGAGCCCCACTGCCAACTTGGACAAACTTGTAAGGAAGGTTCTTCAACTCCTTGTTGACCTTAGCCCTCTTGGCTGGTTGTCTTGGTGGTTCATCATCATCCTCTAGTTCATCAATGTCCTCCCTCTCAGGTGGCCTGTTCTGATGTTGGCCTTCCTTCATCAAGGTCTCTAAAAACCCGAACCTTGTGAGTTGTTGCCTTTGCTCTTCTTCTGTTGAGCAAACTGAATAGAGGGTCCACCCTGAGCATTCATCATATTGAACACTGCTTTGCCAAAAGATTCCATATCCATCATAGGAGCTTATGTTGGTGGAGAGTTCATAGGCATAGGTGCATTCTGTGCCATATATGTGGGTTGTGCTACATATCTCCCATTATTTGAAGTGGGTCCACCTTGGTCTGCAAGCTGACTAAGCTTGACATGGATAGTCCTGACTTCATCTCTGAGCATATCAAACTCATCATCATTGATGTTTGATGAGCCATCACCATAGTAGTGTTGCCCTGCAGCTCCCTTTCTCTGCCAATACTCCTCAACTCTGACTGCCACTGGTGTTGGTCCTGGTGGAATAAAGTTGCCATCAGACAGCCTCTGCTTGCCATCTTCCACCACAATCCAACCCTTTATCAGATGTTGATGCTTCCTAGGACAATCCCTTGCAAAGTGGTCTGGGTCTCCACAATAGTAGCAACTAGAACCATTACCACCTCTGTTCATGCCTCCTCCATAGCTTCTATTGCTGTTATAGCCCCTATCCTGTTGGCCATAAGAGTTCTGTGCCCTGTCACGCTGATCTTGATCGTCACGGTCACGCGGTGGATTGTTCCTCTGATTTTGGAAAGCCTTAACCAATTCATTAATAGATGACTTGGTCTGCCTCTGTCCAGCATCAACCATATCCCTTAGACCAGATACTTGTCCTTCAAGATCATCAAGCCTGACATCACGTTCCTCCAATTTAACCCGTGGGAATTTCTCTGATCTTCTGACCTCAGTGGGTGAACTGATGTCATAGGTGGTATCTCCACCATTGGTCTTGGCATATCTTTCTGCCAACTTGATCAAATCATCCAGCTTGATTGAATCCTCCTTCCTGTCTGAAGTTGCTGCTGCTCCAGCTGCAGGTGGTGTCTCCTCCTTGAGAATATTCTTGGTATGCATGACAGTCTTCAAAGATCTGGAAAACTCTTTCTCCAAGGTATCCAGATATCTTCTGCATGCCTCCTTATTCAGGATTATAGCAGGGTCCTTCTGAAGTTTCTTGATCAAAGCCTTAAACTTCAACCCAAATCGGGTAAGTTTTCCTTCCTGAGTGTGACGAATGCCATGATACTCGTCACATAACTCCTCTAGGTCCCTCATGGTACCCAACCTGTCTTCCTCTACCTCAGGATAGATCTTCTTGATTGCCTTCTTGAACTCTTCATAGGTCTTGGTAATATCTGTGTACTCTGTCAAGAGTCTCCACTCTTCTTTCCTCTTGTTGGAAAGGTAACTGGTCAGCATAGTCTTCTTTTCCTGATCCTGATTGACTTTTCCCAAAGTGATGATATCATCAACTTGATCAAAGAAATCAATCAAATCATTCTTGTCCTCTGATGTGAACCTAGGGACTCCTGTTTCCCATGGTCTTGGTATTTTAAATGTAGCAGCATTTGTCCCATTGCTAGCCTGGTTTGCTGCCATTGGTGCTTGGTTGTTGGATGAAGATGATGAACTGGAACTTGGTGAACCAGGTATAGGTGTTGTATATGGGAGATCAGTATCCCAGTTGTGGTAGTTATCTGGATTCTCAAAGTCAAATCCTAGAGCCTGCTCAAGGTTTGTCTCTCCAAGGTCCTGTTCTTGTTCTTCTTGTTTAACTTCTCCCTCTGAATTATCTTCAGGGATATCTTCTGGGTCTGGCCTAAGTGCAGCAGCCAATAATTCAATCCAAGCTCCTACTCTCTCCTGATGCCCTGCTTCTGGTTGTGCACTTGAGGATGAAATGTTTAAAGAAGGAGTTGCTGTGTTCCTGTTACCAATCAATGGTAATAGGTGATGATAGTCTCCAGTACTGTTCTCCAATATCTCTCCTTCTTCTAGCTCAGGCTCTTCAAGGATAGAAGGTAGTCCAGCCAGTATGTGTCCTTCTAGTTCCAAAGAGTCTTCTTCAACTACTTCAGTTTGTGTTGTGTCTGGATCAATATGACCAGATGTGACTTGTGTATTACGTAATTCTGACCAGCGCTCTGCGCGATCACGTGCTTTCTCTCTTTCCAAATTTCTTGCTATATGCGCCGCAGATAGTCTTGAACTCGTTGTTTATATGTGATCAACACAATATAATATTTGTTGAATATTCTGGATGAACCCCCTCGCGGTGGGCTCCAGATGAAACGCGGGAAACCGGGGTGTGGGTGGGAAAGGAAAGAGCCAAAAAGGGCGCTGGAGATGTGAAAGAAAACAAAACAAAACACTCACTCAACAACCCAAACCAAAACAAATCCAGCAATCCCAAATGTAGTAGATAGTTCTTCCCAATACAAGGTCGGTATCATTATTCGCGTGCGTATTCGGGGGTTCCAGTCAAAGTATATGACTGTGGCAACCCAGGGGATATCCAATAGTAGTGTGTTTAAGTGGTTGTTTAACGTTAAAGACTTGTCCGCTCAGCGGCAAGAGTCGTGGGAACGAGTAGGTACATGTATATAGTTGTCGCAATAGAGTATCGGTCCGACGGCATTAGCGCTCCGTTGATTGGCAGACGGCGTCTGTCAATGATCGTATTCAAAATGCCCCGCAGGGCGTATTCCCTTGCAATCCCACTAAGATTCACTGGTGCTATAGGTACATGGGGTGCCTAATTTATAGCTCTTTTCCCGTCACTCCGTCACGGTGCTGCGGTCACTCCGCAGCGCCCTCGTCGCTACCACCGCCTCGCGTCTCTGGCGACGTTGCCCCGTTCCCTTGGTGGCTTACCTGAGGCTTAGTTAGCCGCTGAGTAAGGCTTAACAAGCCTTACTCATCGCGCTGGCTTGCCTTTCGCCACCTTGCTGCGCCTTGCTTGTCGACGACCACCACCCGCCGTAGCGCCCGCGTGTCACCATCCTTGTTGATGATACCAAACTCGAAATCGAGTGCGACATCAGCGATTTTCCTAAACTCATTCAGTGTTTTGTGGCCGCCGAAACCGAATTCATCAGAGTGAATGCTGCACTCACCGATCCAGAAGCGAAAGACCCTAACTCGGTACAAGAAGCAAAATCGTCCATTTACTGGACCTATTGGTTGGCAGCTCTATATGAGGAGCTGGAAGCGTTGAAGGCCAAGGGAGTGTACGAAGAAGTGAAGGAGCTTCCTTTTGGTCGGAAAGCTGTCGACTCGAAATGGGTGCTGCACATTAAACGCAACCGAGACGGGCTGATTGCCCAATTCAAAGCGAGACTTGTGGCCAAAGGCTTTACTCAGATCCCAGGCCAAGATTTCGTTTACACTTTTGCACCTGTTGCTCGATGGGAATCAATTCGTCTGATTCTTGCGCTTGTAGCGAGATTCGATATGGAACTACGTCAAGTCGACGTCAAGACGGCTTTCCTTAATGGTCCACTTGAGGAAGAAATCTACATGCGCAAGCCGTCAATACTTGGAGCGGGATTCTGGAGATTGCTGAAAGTCTAAGGCTTGTATGGTTTGAAGCAAGCGGGACGGCAATGGTACCTGGAGCTCAATGCGAGCCTCGGGAAAATTGGATTCCAATGATTGGCGTCAGACTGGAGTGTATACAAGCGAAGCCAAATCTCCGCTTATTCGTTCTTACATAGTGAATTTCTGGCTTTGGCTTTGTCACGGGCACTATGGAACTCATACCAAATGAATTTCAAGTAGCCACCAAAAGTGAAATTCATCCCAAATCAATATGAATTCCATAGGGAATATGAAAGATTTCACCCAAAATTCGCATGAAGTTCATGGACCCATATTTTTGGAATCTACTTAAGAAAACAGATTTTGCAATTTCATTGTAAAAATGAAAGATTTCATTAGAGATTATCAGCACTTGGTTTTCTAAAATATTTGAGGGAGATTGATCTACTGATGAGACAAATTTGAGAACAGCTTCAAATATTTTACAGTGAAAATGAATGTCTTTCACCACCCAGTTATAGCTGTACAACCAGAAAACTCACAATTTTTCAATGAAAAGCCTTGGCATTCTCAAAAATTATTTCTAAAACTCAGAGGCTAGTTCAAAATTTCTGAAGGCCATTTTTTGCGGCTGCTGATAATCTCTATTGTCTTTTTACACTTTGACTTGAAATTCATCTGGTTCTAGACTCACAGTGGGGCCAGTCACAAGCCACTACTCTGACTCGGAGAAGACATAAATAAGTAGTGGTAGTTTTTGGAGATGACAGATGTAACGATGCCGAATGCTTGTTGTCTGAGAAGAACGATATGGAAGCAGGAATCGAAATGCGCTGTTTAACGGGTCTCAGGCTAGCGAGCCATTAGACACCTCTGAAGGTCGTTTCCAAGGCCACTAGTACTTTCTTCTGCGCGCCAGTACCGACAACGTTTGCCTCGGAGCCAAGCCAATCTTATACTGTAGTATTAACTTTCGACCACCACTACAAACTTATCTTACTATCAAACCTGTGGATGCAAGAAGACAGATAAGCCTGAGTATGGAAGAAGAGTCCGAGATCAGTACCGTAAGATGATGAATATGTAGTAGACTTCAGAGTAAATAGTACGGTGTAGAGGAGAAAGAGAAATAGAGAGACGTGGAGATAGATATGGTGTAGTAGCATAGCAGACAGTAGCGTGTATGTTCCAGCGTAAGAGCAAATTCATGTCTGGTCAGGCATCCAGACGAAGACCGACATCCAAAATCCGCCCCCACCGGATGACATTATGTATTGCAGCCACATCAGCATGCACACGCCATCCCCCTCGACTCCATACCGCTTTAGCTCCCCGTAGAACACCCGCAGATTGTGTAGAAATTGGCGAGAACGAGTGAAGACAGCGCTCGTCGCCTGGCCTGGAAGCAAATTCGGAACGGGGCCATCGCTTGTGGCTCTAAACGGGGGAGGCCCAAGGGCTTGTATCGGTGCAATCATCGACGAAGTGAGGTAACGACGATGATTCTTGCTCGAGACACAATTATTCCACACGTCAATGACACGGAAGATGAGCGAGCAAAGGTTTGGAGACAGAAAAACGGCAGGATATGGCGATATATCAAGGAGATGAGGAGGAAGGGCATCTAGAGAGTCGAATTTGGCCAAGGGAGTCGTCCTGCGACAAGCGCGCGTGCTGGAAGAGGGAGATCTGATATCGGGGAAGTCGTTCGTTTGTGCTCGAAAGTGGTGTAATGGAGAATTCGGATTTGGTCGACATGTGGCGGTCGGAAGACGGAATGGAACGGGTTCGTGCGCATGTAAGTGTTCATCTTGAAGTATATGAGCGTCCTGTATCGCGCGGTGTCCAATCCAGGAGGCGGAGCAGAAGAAGGTGGACAGGACCGATATCAGGAGGAAGGGAGGAACAACATCGAGAACGAGGTCGTGGAATGGTGGCGGGACAAAATCGTGCGATTTGTTGTTGTAAACAATTTTTTGGGAAAGCCGTTGGTGAAGACGCGAGATGCAAAGACTGGTCAGGAGGCGATATGGATTTGATGGTCGTTTTCCGCGACATCTGCAGTCCAAACGAGCGGCGCAAATATCTGCCAACAGTGGAAGTGTGAATGCCTGTCTCCAACCCTCTTCGACGTTCAAGAGCAGAAACATGACGTAGAATTTTGACAGCGTGAAGATGTCGAGGAAGAGGTCGAGAAGGGAGCCGTTAAAGGGGCCCAGAGTAAATTGCCATGGTGGATGTGTGTTAATGGTTGTTGGGGAAGCGGTGGTTTGCGTGGAAAAAGGCAGTGGGTTGGGAGGAAAGTGTATCCACGGCTTCAGCGCCCGGGGGACGACAAAGTGGCTGAGGCATTGTTTCGTAGACCATATATAGTTCCAGTAAGAAACGAAGACATCCAATAACCGAGGGATATGTTTTGACTGGCAGAATATGGCCACGAATCGCGTTACGTGATGCGGGAGGAGGAGGGCATTGGCGAACTCGGGAATGAGGTCGTGGAGTTGTTTTACAACAGCCGCAGGTGATAAGGCGATGTGAGGGGACGCGCGGTAAGTCATTTCTCCGGATGCAAGAGGCAACCGAGGGGAGTTATCCAACGGTTGAACGTGTGGTGTTTTCGACCTTATTCGCCAACAAATAATGACAACAGTGTCCCGTCCGTATTTAATTGTCGAGGAGAGCGCAAGACGACGTGTGGAAAGGGGGAGGACGTTTTTGAAGAGAAAGAAGATGGAGGAATATAGTGCTATTGCCGCGTTTTCGCGAGTTCTGCGGGAAATGAGCTTGGCTACTGAGAAAGCTAGCCGAAGAACGCGCCTTGAATCATCAGAACCGTTGCATATAGTCGCGCCAAGGTATACATCCACTGTGAGGGCGCGTATGCGCCTTTGACCAAACGCGCTAGACTTGCCAGCCTCCAACCAGTCACTGCTCCGTCGTAAATCTGCGATATCCTAGAGCAAGTGTCAGTTTGATTGAATATACCTGATTTGGTGTAATTTGATGATATGTGACAATGTGACGCCAGAGTTTTTCGATTTACGACTGCGAGCTAAATCGAAAAACTCTGGCGTCACATTGTCACATATCATCAAATTACACCAAATCAGGTATATTCAATCAAACTGACACTTGCTCTAGGATATCGCAGATTTACGACGGAGCAGTGACTGGTTGGAGGCTGGCCCCAGCACAACTCCCTCCCTCAACAATAAATCTCTGCCCCACCCCTCCTAGTCGACCCGCGTGCTGTCGTCGTCTTTCCAGTCAAACGTGCCACGTAATCGGCCTTCAAGCTCTGTACACGCCCGGTTGTATGGCATACCCCCAAGGGATGGGATCAAGAAAGGCGGCCCGCGCGCCGCAGACGGGTGTACCAAACGACATGGAGGAAAAGGACAAGATGGTATTTCCTTTTTCGGCCAGGCGATGGTTGTTCCCGATTGCCTAGATATTTCATCTTCACTGGACGACTGCACACCTCCGGTGCCGACGACCTACCCAAGCTGTTAGTCCAAGCAATAGTGGTAGCCCATCTTGCGCGACCTTCTCACTGGGAGCTCATGAATTGGTGCTCGCATACTCTGGCTTTCAAATGCGCCCTCGGATTTCTTCGCCATATTGTAGAAATCGGCTTAAAGTATAGCTGGACATGCACACATTTACTAGTAGCCTGAAACTTGCAAGACACTAGAGACTCTGAGTCTGACAATCTTGGCTTGGTACACTCGAGAGAAACAACCACCTGAAGTCGCTTACTAGAAATACACAAGTTTTCGCTCTCGTGAACGACTGTCTTCACGGGTCAGAAGAAAGGATTGCGAGCGAGACTAAAGTTTTCGGAGAAAAAAAAATTATTAACGCAATTGCGCTCTTAGTGATACTTAGGGGCTAACCCTAGCAATACTTAAATATCTGGTCCAACTCTATGCCCGCTCCGGATCCTTTGCACCCGGTATCTCCACGAGAAGTACCGCCTGCCCATACATATGGTCCAACACCGGCTCATTCCCCATCGCGATATACGCCGACTCTGCCCTATTCCTCTCGTCTTCGGGTTGGGGTTCTGTCACCCGATATACTGACACCAGGTGCTCGTCCGCATGCAGCTGCGCACTTGCCTGTCTGCCTGCCGCGTTTGAGCGCACAAGCGGCTGGCCCGTGCGTCTAAGCTCGTCTTCGACCTCCCTTGAGTCCTCCTCCGCCCCCCCAGATCTTTCGCAGGTCGAGCACGCCGTCCAGCGCCATGCGCACACCCTCACCCCCATCCCAGTCCATGTCGCCCGGTGTGGTGTACACTAACTTGAGCATAGACAGCACGTGGCCGATGGTGTTTGCCAGTGGGTCGGAAATTGTGCGTGGGACGGGTACTCGTGCTCAAGACCAAAGCCAAGGAAACCGCCTTCGGGTAGGAAAGCAGTGTCGGCAAGCAGCGCAGCCAACGCCGTCTGGAAGGCGACTTCAGCCTCAGACGATGGCTGTCTTGTCACGGTATTCAGATCATGCGAGGACGATTTGAGTGAAAGGAGAAGATGGTAGGTGAGTGTGACCCGATGGCCAGCGATAACGGGCTCGACAGCATGGGTGACATCGCTGAAGAAGGCGATGTATGCGATTGAGCCGTTTTTACCAGCAAGTTGTATTGCAGAGTCAAACATGAACGAGTTCTGGCCGTGTGATAAGTTTAATTGTCCGCCTTGATGCTCTGTGGGGAGAACAATGACGAGCGAGCCAACCATGCTTTTTCCACGGGGCGTGTCCTTATGAGACTTGAAGAAAGAACCAGGGCCTGGAGAACGTTCGATAAAAGGCAGAAGATTCAAGGATCGGACTCACCATACACATTTAGCTTATAAAGCTCCGCCCGGATAACCGCGTCATCGCGTCCTTCGAGCAACTCCGGCATGATTTCTGTAGAAGACTCAGTCGTGGATGGGAAACGACTCTATAGGAAGCTACCTGTAGAAGACTACAATGATAAGTAGGTAGCTACGGAATGAATGGAACGGCATACCTCAGTCGTGGATGGGAAACGACCGTGACTGAGGAGCACGTGACATCGGTCCGGAATATCTCCTGCCCGGCATATCCCATGCACGGGCCACCCATACTGCATCGCGCCTATATCGCGCTCTCCAACAATTTCATCGAGAATATTAAGCGTCCCAATATCAAGCGACGCAGCAAAGTTTCCGCAGTCGAGTTGCCCCGCCTTGCGGTAGCCCTCGTCAAGCACGTCTTCTGTCCCCAGCCCAAATGTCGCGGGCTCACACGCCTCAGTTGCCTCTGCAAAGTTGAGCATCGCCGCGGCCAGTCTTCAGAAATCGTCAACGTTCAGTTGGAGCAGCTGCAACGCACAAGCCCACCGTTCATTGCTGGCAGTCTGCTTGTAGAACAGCGCCAAGTCCTCGGGCCAGACATCAAGCACACCGCATGTCCACGGCGTAGACTGCTTCATAGCTTCGCGCAGCGCAGAGAGGTGCGCTTCAGCCATTGTTGTAGTCGAGGACTGCCCCTTTTCGTGTCGAGTCATAAGCACGTGCCGTGACTGCCGAGTCACATTATCATCTTCCCAGTTAACGTTGCCCTGGTCCTGTCTTCCTTCCAAGTTTCAACAGTATGGCAACAGTCTCTGGACTGTCAAAATTTTGACGTCGGAACATTGATGTGGTGTGATTGTGTGATCAGGGACCCCAGCTACCTACATCTTAGCCAATAGCCTGTAACACTTGTGTACGAAGATGCCCAAAACAAAGCTGCATATGTGGACTACCCTCAATAGATTGTTCTTAGCCTGTTCAGCCCCAGGCCCCCAGAAGACTTGTTCCATTAGAAACTTGAGTACCTACTGGCTATTCAACTGAAATGATACTCAGATTACAAAGGAGATTGAGCCATCAGCAAAAAAATGGAGAAGGTGTCAAGGGCTTACCGGGCTTGAACATGCCAAAATCGGCGAAATCAGCCACAAAACCTTGCCAGTCTGTTGGTGCCTCAAGGGGTCTTACAAATGACCATTGAATTGTTGGAGGTGGAAGATTACAAGCTGATGGCCAGCGTGGCAAGGACGGGCCGGCCCGTTTAGGTGTTGCAATTGCTTACACTGTGTTCTGGACTTCAAAAGGTTTATTGGTGCTGGCCTCTCTTGACCAGACAGTTCATACATTGTAGTTAATAACAAAAACATTGTTTATTTGGTTTGGTAGAATAAGAAAATGGTACAACTGGACACCAAACCCCTCGGTCCTGACCCACGACATCGCCACCACTATTCCCTGCACCCATCGGATAGACACCACCAGCACTCTCGGGCCCACGTTCCATCGACTCAACAGCAGCCTGCGATGTCACAGATAAGACCTGGCCCGTCCGCTCCGGTGCTAGTGTCGGGCCACCACGGGCTTGTAAACACGCAGCACCTGACAACGGGGAACATGCACCCTAGTAGGAGGAACACACACGTGGGAAGCATGTGACCGAGAACGACGTGTCAAGCCGTTGCCGAGCCCAATTCGACACCAGGGGACTGGGGAGGAGTGCTAGGAGGTTAGTAGTAGCGCCTGGCCCGCAAGGGATGTACGATCGTCCCCTCTGCAGCCAGGAACAAGGACAAGGAGGAGTAGGAGAGGCCAGGGTGTCCGATCACCCCTTTGTGGGCCCACGTAGTGCGATAGCGTACCATGTACTTGTCAGGGGAACCCCCCTTTCGGCCCCTCGGAGACGCCTCCGATTCCGGTCCGATTCCGGTTCTGTCTCCGGTTCCGTCTCCGGTCCGGCCCTCCATCTCGCCCGCACAATCACCGATCCGTCAACACCCTCCCAACGGTCGCCCTGGGACCTTGCCTGCGACGCCGCCCAAGCTTTCTGTGCCCGACAGCGGCAGCTACGGACAAGCAGTATATAGTCAGCTCCCTAGCAGGCGGACCCTTAGAGTTTCTTCTCTTTGGATCCTCCCCTGCTAGGTCAGCTTTGTTTGTATTTGCTTACCAATGTTCACGCTTTGGATCCTCCCCTGCTAGGCCTTGATCTCAGGCCTCCGGGGTTGCCCTTACAATTCTCCCAATAATGAAACGGGCATGTGGATTGTTGAGCCTGAAATGCGGACTTGGGGCTCCACCACCTGGTTTGTTACTATCGTTTACCATCATATTCCCTGGGACTTGCAATATATTCATTCTCTGGATGCCTTTCAAGCTTTTCAGGTAAACAAATACATAGACCACCATGCAAATGAAATTTTATTTGAAAATTGTAGCAACTTCTGACATGTACTGGCATCTAGCTTGCACAATTTCCTCTTCTGGAGCCCACTAACACCAGGTCTTCCAGCTCTCCAGCTCCACCAGGTCACCCTAGTAAGTTTGGGTTTTCCTGATGCTCTACCATCCTCTTCACCAGACATCTTTCCAATCCGCTCATTTATACCCTCCACATATGCCCATACCCTCTCCCTTCCACTCCCTGTACAGTAGATAGTCAAATTATACATCACTGGCAAGGCCACATGACCAGGGCAAGGGTTTGATACACCCCAAGGAGTCCAAAGAAAACTGGAGGGTAATATTTGCCCCCAAAAGGGACATCTTTATTTATTGGAAAAAAAAGTTGAAAAAGGTCAAGTGGATAGAAAATAAATCTATGGGTAAAAAACAGCTTCCCAGATTGTAGCAAAAAGAAAAAAAAGCTTGCCTGTAGGGGGGAAAAATGGAACTTTTTTGGTCCCAAGGAGCCTTTTTGTATTATAATATTGGCCTTTTTTTCTGACAAGATTGCTATTTCATTCATTAAGTCTTTTTGAATCGTTTTTCCCAACAAATAAAGGTGTCCCTTTTGGGGATACTTATTACCATCATTAAAATTTTTAAAAATCCTCCATTTTCTTCTCAATCCTCAGGGTGAGAGACTGTCTCGATGAATTGAATGCTATTGCTCAATATTACTCTGCCTCTTCCACACTGGCACTCTGCAACACCCACCATACCTATGTAATCTCGGTCTCAAAGCTTTACAGGTTTTATATAGAGAGGTCTGCTGAAGAAAGGCAAGTGCCCACTTGATCTAGTTTCTGGGGTCCAGATTGATGCAGGATCAGCTATCAAGCCTCGGACATCAAAAATCCGGACAGTCCAGAGACTGTTGCCATACAACAGATGTTCGCCAACGTAACTCCTCAACTCACCTGATCCAGATTGATATCTTCTGCCAGGTTATGGAAAATCCAGACGTCTTCAAGTTGTTCTTAGCCGTCAGCTTCAAGGACAGGCCATCCCACGACCTCAACGCTGCTGGCCGACAACGACAACACAGTATCAGCGGGTTTAGCCGTGTCGTGAATGAATCTACAGATTCTCTTCCAGTGTCCGTGGACATCTAGACTATAAGGAGGAGTCTGTTCTGTAGTTTGGACGTGTCAAGGAACGGTAGGAGAAGGACATGTGAAGGCCAGATATTATCGTGCAGGGAGCAGAAGCAGAAACATATATATGGGGTAGAGGGCATGGGGATAAGGAAGAACCATAAGGTATATATGTTCCGCATTCATCACCGCCGCCATATCGTTGGAACTGTCGCAACACGGCCTTTTCAAACTGACAAAACGCAACACCAAGCCCGCCTCCGTTGTGATATTGGTCTCAGACGGTGTATCTGGTTCTTTCTCCACATAGAGCACGAGGTCACGAAAAAACGACCCAAGACAACGCTCGTCGCCTGGTCCGAAAGGCAAATTCGGAACGGGGGCCATGATATCGCTCGTGGACTCTAGCGGGGGGGTTGTAGTGGTGTATTGCAGTTGGAGAAGTCAATGGTAATGATGGATGAAGAGTGGAAACGTAAGGGAAGCCAATTACTTCAATCAGCCCAGTTATCGTCGAAGAGAGGGAAGGACACAGAATTCTGCTCCAGACATATTACTCCATGTATTAGTGACACGGAGCCTGCGCGAGCGAAAGTTTTTTTTTTGGGGGGGGGGTATAAGAGCGCAGAATATGGTCGTATATCCATGGGGAGGAGGGGGGCCATCTCAAGCCTTGGAACTGGCCAACGGAATGATTTCGGGACAAGCGCGCGTGATAGAAGTGGGTGTTTTGAGGTCCGGGAGCTCGTTCGTTTGCGCCCCAACGTTTGTAGGCAGATTTCATATTCAGTCGACATTTGGTCGCGAGAAAACAGAAAGGGAACTGGTTTATGGGTATTTTCGTGCCTTCTGTGTCGAATGCTGGTGTCCTGTTACAGACGCGGAGGTCAAGAGGGTGGACAGGACCAACATGACGACGAAGGGAAGAACGATGTGGAGAACAAGGCCATGAAAAGATGGCGGGACAAAAGAGCCGGACTGTGGCATTATCCTGGTTATCGGGAAAGTCGTTGGTTGAAAGCCAATATGTCGAAACTACGGGGGAAGTGTTTTGGATTATATAGTCATGTTCCGCAGCATTAGCAGTCCAAATGCGCGACACAGAGTTCTGGTATTCTCTCTCCGGATTGAAAACGTCTTGCTCAAGCCCGCGCTACGTCTTGAAAGCAGAAATAGGGCGGGAAACGCTCCCAGCATGAAGGTACCGAGGAAGGGGATGACGAGCTCAAGAAGGGAGTCACGAAATGGGCCCAGAGCAAATTGCCGTGGTGGATGGATATGAACGTTGGTTGAGGAAGTTGTGGTTTGCAGGGGAAGAGGCTGTGGGCGGTGAGGAAAGGGCATCGACTGTGTCAGGGTTTTTGGGCCCGCACCCCCATCATCGTAAAGCTCCGCACGAGTGTCAACACCCGCGGATGTTTGCACAGGTACCTGCAGGAAAACATCCGCAGGTTTGACATCCGCGGATACAGGTATCCGTTTCCCACGGATGCCAAGAGTACAGGTATGACTCTTGAAGATCTGAATTTTTATTATCTTCCATATATTCCAGTCACTACAGTCTTCTTATGCCCTGTGGTGTCCATATCAGTATATTACTGGATACTATATCCTATATAAGCTCTTAATATTGTCAATATACCTCAGTATCCTAATATTTTATTCAAAATACCTGTGGATAATCCGTGCAGGTACCCGTATCCGTGAGTACAGGTACCTGTTTCCCACGGATGCTGCAAATGCAGGTATTGGTTTTGAAGCCTAAATTACCTGCAGGTAGAGTACAGGTATTTATCCGTGACACTCGTGAGAAGCCTTACATCATCGGCTGATCGGACAACGGCACGCTCGGCAAGAGCTGTCAAATGTCATTTTGGGATTGTCGCTTTGCTCTCCGCTTCCCATGACGCCCTCTTCGCCAGACCTCCATTGTCCGCCCAATATGACTTCCCAACAAACTTTGCCACTCTGTACAAACCACCACAAACCACCATCTCTACCCCGTCTCATGATCATTCCTGATGCCTGGTAAACCGAAGGACCGCACCCTGCCGCCAAATGGCATTCCCCGACTCACTGCCGCCGACATCAATCGCAAAACTACCCAAAAATAAAATGTTTGTCTCTGATGCTGGAGCGGCGGCGATAGTGGCCAAGAGCCACCTAGTATTTGACTTAGTCTATGACCACACCGCCAACCCGTCAGCCCAGGTCGATGCCATCTCACATCTCGCCCGCTACAATGTCCACCATGATCCTGACGGTCCTTGTCCGACAGGGCATTGGTCCATTGCCTGGTCAAACCACAAGGACCGCAGTAGCCCTCCCGCCATATGGAGCATCAAGTACATTCTTATGGTCTGGTGTGTTGTCTTTACATGCTCTGCACAGCTCTCTTGCTTATTCTCCTTCTCAGCACTTGTGGCTATGACCACACAAAACGAAACAGCAAGAATCGAACGGCGGCGTTCCCGCTGACGGACTGCCCTGCCCATCTCGAGATTACGGTGCATCCACCGACCGGCGCCATTCTCCGTGTCCGTGGGCTCGCCGAGCATAACGCCGCCTGCGACTCGGCGATGCTGGAGCATCGGCCTCACCAGCCAGTCGCGGCCATTGTCTACCGGACGGCGCTCGAGCAGCTGTCCAGCGGCGCACAGATGCGGGCAATCTTTCGGAAGAATGTCGAGCTCATCCGCATCGGGCGTGGCAAACACGGGTACCCGGGATTTCCTGTGGATCGCGTCAAAGACCCGTATCGCTGGCTTCTCGATCAGCGCAAGGAGACTCGGAGCATCCTCCGCCAATTCCAGCGTCTCAAAGGCGTCAAACTCAGGGAACGAGCAGAGTACAACATCGACGACTGGCTTGATCCGGACTCGCAGCACTATAAACCGGTGCTGGCCAGCGCTATCTTTCATTATTCGGCCCGCAAGGCAAAGGACGAGCGGCTGGAGGTCTGCATTTCGACGCCGGAGATGGAGGAAGCGGCCTGGCGCTATGGACACGAAGGCCAGCTTCTTCTCGACGGCACTTTCGGGGTCACCAACTCCCCACTGCTGCCCTTCATTGTCATGGTCGTTGATGAAGCAAACAAGGGCATTCCGGTCGCATTCCTGCTCTTTTCAGCGCCGACCGGAAACCAGCAGTCCTCCGCAGGTTACGACACTGCGATTTTGACAAGGCTGCTCATGCACTGGCAAAGGCAGCTTGACACCACGTCTCGCTGTGCCCGTCCTGCCGCGACACATCGTTTACTCCGCGAACGGCAATCACCGATACCGACATGAAGGAACGCGGGGCCCTGCTGGCTGTTTTTGTGGGCATCTGGCTCTTGATCTGTCGCTTCCACCTCAAGCAGTGCTGGCGCAATCACCGGACGCAGACCTTGAAGGGAACGACCCAGCTCGTCATCGATTTGCGAGATCGACTGCGACACTTCGAGCAGCTTTTGCTGCAGCAGCCGAACGAAACTGCGGCGAGAGCATTCATCGCCCGTGAGCGGGCTACTCTGGAGACGGCTCTCAAGGCTGCAAATGGCGGGTCGCTCCCCGATATTGCCATCAATGTCTTCAAACATCTGGACTACCTCGGAGATGGATTCTGGCTGCGCCTGGCCTTTTCGACAGCTGGTCTGATGCTGGTCGAGTCGAGGCGGCACGTCGACTGAACTGCCCTGTTTCGGGTCGTTCCTACGACCAATCATGTCGAGGGGCTTCAATGGTGCGTTGAAGAACTCGCACTTGCGGGACTGGAAGCGTGGAGGTCGCCGTCTCCGTCCCGACGTCTTCGTGAACGCCCTCGTTACCAATCTCGCGGGCGATTGACCGCGCTGACTGTTGCGACCACCCCTACGGCAGCCTTAGCGGACGATATTCGGGACGCGTGGAAATCGGTACTGGTAGATGGGGATGAGGCGACAAGTGAGAGTGGGGATGAGAATGCCGCGAGCGAAGGGTCAGAGGATGTCGAGACAACCACAGAGTTGCTCACGCCACTCATTTTGCCTCCGCTGGATGCAGCACCACTCATGTCTGCGGACTCGACATCTATCCAATCTGCCTCACAAACATCGACACCATCAGCAGCCGACGCGTTTGAAGCTCAAGCCCACTCCCGCTTCTTTTTTGAAATCAACAAGGTCAAGCATGTGCTTGACTGCTGTCTCGATGCCTTCAAGAGCTTGCAGAATCCTGCCGCGTTCACCGAGCAGCAGATGGCGACAATCAGCGGGCTCGAGAGACACGTTCATGAAGCTTCAAACTCAAATTACACTGCGCTCTAACCGACATGCAGCGCCGCAGGACATCTCATTCCACGAGACGACGCAATCACGCCGTCCGCCGAGCACCTGAGCGTGCCGATGACGAGGACGAGAGAGATTCCAAGCGTGCTCGTATAATACCTGTTTCTCCCGAAAAGCGACAAGACCGACAGCAGTCGCACTCAGTAGTGTAGCCCTTGTTTTTTTATCTGGATTTATTTATGTTTTTATTTTAAAAAAACTTGAATTTATTTATGGATTTTTCTCTCTGTTTCTTGCGCCACCCATCCCGCCTCCCGCCTCCCGCCTCCCGCCTCCCGCCTCCCGCCTCCCGCCTCCCGCCTCCCGCCTCCCGCCTCCCACCTCCCACCTCCCGCCTCCCGCCTCCCACCTCTCGCCTCCCACCTCCCGGCCTCACGGTGACGCCGAGCCACTCTCACACACACTCCGGAGGCTGAATGACAGCGTGGAGGGAACCCAGTCAAAGCTTGGTCAAAGCACTCGCCGGCCGGGCAGCCGAGACATGCCGTGACATGATGGGGGTGCAGGCCAGAACGCCGTCTATCTTCTCAAGTGTTCGAGCCCAGGTGTCGACTTGCTTGATTTCATTGCCGACCCACTGGCACGCTCCAAGGGTTCGGATTGGCTCACCTTCTCCGGCCACTTTGATGCCTTCCGGTATACGTGTTCCATCTTTGCCGTTTACAGCTCGCGCTGCTATGACATTTTCGCGGTGGTCTTTCGAGCCAATCGGCAGTACTTCCGTTTTGCTTATGTTGAATTTTGCCCCCGCGGCAGTGCACCATGTGTTGAGGATTGACCAGAGCTCATTCCAGTCGTCTGACTCATCGAGATACACCATTGTATCATCCGCGAAGAGGGAGGTAATAATTCTGTCTATTTTCTCATTTATGTGAATTCCTTTCAGCGTCGACTTCCGGAGTGATTCGGCCAGCGGTTCGATGGCCAGATCAAACAGGAGACATGAGAGGGGGTCTCCTTGCCTCACTCCTCGAGTGACCTTGAACGGTTGTTTACTTCGTTCGCCGTTGTAGTTCGTTGTGCAATACTAGAGTCCGAGAAGAAATGCCAAGTAATCCACCCTCTGTCCATCGAACTGAACCCTCTATTAATCATCGAGCTCGAAGTCGAAAGGTATGATGTTGGGTCGAAGAATGTAGATTTCCTTCTGCATACTGTAAAAAAACATGAGCGGAGGTCAAAAACACAGACGGGAGACAGTACCCAGTTTGTTTTGCGAGCTCCGAGAGGAAGCGCGCGAAGGGAAACCCAGCTCGCGGATCATCGAGTGTCCTGAGGACAGACCTCAAGGCCCGTTGATAATACGCCTGATGATACTTATTATCTGAGGGCGTTCAAATGAATCACTTACCTTTATTGAGGCCCTGGTCATCCACTCGCCCTTTTTGATCTTGGCACACAAAGCTTGATGAATCTTGCAGTTCGTCAGGAGTGATCTGACGAATCAAGATGAAAACCAAGTATAGTTACCATTGTCATGGCCATTGCCATCACAGGAGGGGGGATGCCATATGGGCTAACAGCCAAGCCGATTTGCTTGTACTTAGTGCACAATGGCCATGACCATCGCCTTCAGTGCGGGGTGATTGCAACGTGTCTCAGGAGTAAGACGTTCGCCCTGATTACGACTCATTATCAACTGGAATTGACGCACAAACAAGATAACACGTACCGATTTGGCCGTATGCAGAAACCTTTGGCCCTTCATTAGACCATCGATGTGTCGTCTTTCGGCCACGACGCGCTCGGCCTCAGTGTAAGGTGCTTGAGTGTCCGGATTGATGCCTTTGAATTCAGAGAGATATTCAAGTTCTTCTTCTACGATTTGGGCTGCGGTTTGAGCAAGGTCCAGCTTGAGTTTGGATTCATGGTTTGCAGCCTGGTCCGCCCATTGAGTGCAATTTGAGAGTAAAATAACATAACACTGACCGCGCTCTTGAGAGTGAAACCATGCTTGCCCCAGAAATCTGTAACGGAATGTGATTGAAGATGAAATGGGTGATCAATTCGGAGAACGAACCATTTTCGACATGTAAATTGTGCATCTTGAAAGCGTCTTGGAAGACCGGGTCGAGGCGTGCATAGCGGTTAACACGGTTGTGGGCGATAACGGGGAACATGTCCAGATTTGCCATGTCGTGCATAGCACGGAGTCGAGCAGTGTTGTAGGCTTGATAAAGGTCGGGAAAACCAGTTTCGATTTCCTCAAGTGTATATGGTCTTTCGTTGATAGGTGGCTCATCTTCTTGGTCCGAAGAAGAGAGTGAATCATCGTCGCTGTCGTAGTGGTATTGGGCAAAGTTGGTGGCGCTCAGTCGAGCGGCGTGATCGATGGGCAATGCCGGATTAACTGGACGTTGGGCAGGAGCAAGTCGGGCAACGGGAACCCTCTGGACAGGGCCTTGAGATTGCCGACAAATTTCGTCGGCTCCCCGAGACTCTCGTCGGCTCCCCCAAGACTCTCGTCGGCTCGACTCTCGTTGGCTCCCCTGAGACTCTTGTCTGTTGCCCTGTCCGAAGTAACTGGAGGACGTTGGCCAACTGGGAGACTCTTGGGCCAAGGCATCCTGGACAGGTTGAGTGGCTTCAGCAAAGCCGTGCTCAACAGGTCCATACCCCTACAATAGATAAGATGGTGCGTTGTCAAAACAGCAAGGATATTTACCTGCGGAGCAAGAAGTGAATTGGGGACCATGCTTGTGAGAAGGTTGCTAGGATAATACACGTCGAATTGAGGTGAGATCGGAAAATTTGCGAGGTCCCGCGCCTGAGTATTCGGGTCTGTTGGCGTTGGGTAAGATACGTCGATAACAAAGTTGTTTGCTGACCGATACCAGAACGCCGACTGTTAAAGACAGCAGCACCCCGACCGTGACCGTAATGGCGGTTGAGCACCACTTGATCGAAGGCTGCCGAAGTTGAGGTCCTTGGTAGGCCGTAGAACTCGGAGAACGCGGGTAGGGATCGACCAAGACCATCGTAGCTTTGTTGTCCATGTAGCAGTGGGGCGTGGCTGCCAGATGGGTAGGCGCTGGTTGTGTTCTGAGGGATCATCACATCGTCTTGATCTTTTAAACCGTGTCAACGAACAGCTTGGAAGACGCCGATGACATACCATAGTTCAAGTAATAAGGCTGGAGCTTGGTTAGTATAGAATTAGGCAATAAAGAAATGGCGACATACCTGGTGCGACTCCGAGGCCAACGCTTGAAGCTCTGGGTGATGAATAATGAGGGCGGCTGGAACCCGGTACGGCGTTTGCTGAATGTCGTCAGCAGACTTGAAGATGGAAGGAATGAAGACTCACGCGACTGTCCCCATGCATTGTCCATTGTAAAGCGGCAGCGGCGGTGAGTTCGAATTGGAAGAGGAAGACTTGGCTGACGAGCCTGGAGATGGTCCAAGAGAAGCCTGAGGTGGATTGGGGTGCATATGCCTTTATAAAAGGTAAACCTCATGGCCTAACGGACCAGGAGAAAATAGGATGTCAGAGCGGCGCAATGTTTGCGCCACCCTCATTGCGTCGGGAGAAAGAGGTGTGTGACGAAAATTTGACAGATGCAGACCCTAACAGGAAAGCGCCAGAAAGATTAAATCCTGCAACCCTGCAAGAGGTAGTCTCGATTCCAGACGTTCGTGAGCAGCGGGCGAGCGAAGCTTCGCCGGAACAGACGCTTGACGTTGCCGGGGTAGTTTTTGATGGGAGGGGTGATGGAGAGGGCTGATTTCTCTGGCGTGATGGGTGATGGTACATCCCCGCATCACGTCCGGCATGTCCCCACCGCCCTCGAACGATCTGGGACCGAGATTAGCAACAACCCTGAGTATGACAAGGAGCGGTCCGAAACGCCGAGCGGAGCGGTGGGCAGCGGGTCTGTAGATCCACCGCGACTGCCGGGCCAGTTGCCGATTATCCGCTGTGTGCGGCTGGAGTTCGGCCATGCAGCAACAACAGATTTATGATGCCTGCCTGGCCCGCGTCCTCGCGCAGCTGGCATAATCTGTAGTAAAAACATATATACATTGATGATTCCCTAGTACTCTAACTGAGTATTTATTCAGCCAGATGAAGTACATTCCGTATTGCATCATCTCCAAATGCTTCATCGTCTTCATTCCCCTCTTCGCTTGCTGAATCTGAGCTTACTGCACACCAATCAGCATCCTCCTCTTCCTCCTCCTCCTCTTGGCTTCTACCCGCATGAGTGGTATCTGTTTGTATTATTATTATTATTATTATGTAGATCGGTAACAGGTGAGAAGCCATCGTGGACTTGTTCGCCCTCTTCCTCCGCCTCACCCATGTTGTTTTGATTTGCCAAATGTTGAGTAGGGATAATATTCCGATGGCCAATGACATGGTTGTGGTATCGCATCATCATATCGCGGTCAGCTACCCTAGAGAATGTAAGCATTGAACAGACAACAGGTGCGAATAATTACATGTTCACATAATAAAAGCGCCAGTCCTTGTCTCCAGTATGCCTACCTACCGATTTCGGCAGGTACTCTGTGGTGTGACCATGATTGAAGGCGGGGATGAGGTGAGCGCCCCGCACGATATCTCGTGGGTCGAGAAAATTGAACGCATCTGTACTTTGATGTGGTATGTAGCAGATCCGAGGGAGTCGTTTGGGTTTGAAGCCGCAAACATGTGTCATGTCGCGCTGGAACCATCGCACCCAGAGAAATTCCAGTCGTTGAGGTCTCCCAGGAACATCCGCCAGTGAGACGTAAGTGTGGAAGATGCCAAGAATTTCGCCGTACCAGAAACGATGAGGGTCTTCGGAATCTTGTGCGTGGACAAGGAAAAATCTTCGAGTGCGTGGGTTCAAGACGTCGTGATCCCGACGTACATCATAAGTCGTGTAGTTGACCTGCATGGTCGCATGTGTGTAGAGCAGGTCTTTTTCAATGATGACGTTCATCAAGTCTTGCTCAGGGAATTCGATGTGGTCTGCGTTGGAGTCCAGGCTTAG